TTTTGACTCGTTTTCCATTTCAAGAGTGAATTTTATTGCTGGGTGGCAATTGTTAAATGTCTTCAACAGCAGATTGGGGTCGTTGTTGTTGTCACAAATAATGAAAATGTCATCCACGTATCTTTTATACAGTCGCAAATTGTCGATGCTTGGCTTTAGTGAACCTCTCTCGAGGCTTGCCACGAAGCAATCTGATAGTAGTGGACCCAACGGAGATCCCATTGCAATACCATCCTTTTGTCTGTAGATGGTGTCGTTGAATGTGAACTGGACGTTCAGAGTGCATCTCAATAATCATTAATGCCTGGATGGGGATTGTCCATGAATTGAAACGTAGCAAGGACCCCTCGACAGTCAAGGAACTCAATGGGTTTCTGCGGTACTCTGTCAAGCTTGCTGTGGGGAAAGCGAAAGTTGGCTTTTTCGAGGATTGCGTCTCCAATCATCAGTATCCAAAGTGGTTCTGGAAAGCACTGCGACGCAATCATATATATCCAAATACGAAGTCCCTTCAACGCCATGCAATGAATTGTGCTGATTCTATCAGATCACGTATGCCCGATCTGCAGCGGAATATCAATCAGAGGTCCTCTGCCTTATACGAATTGACTTCGGATGAACGTCAAAGATTCACCGAATACATCGACTTGGTTGCGAATAAACGGTCGCAGTCTGTCGTAACCCAGCTCAACAACAGCCTTAAGCAGATGAAACCTCAAGGCAAATTTCCTGACGAACCCACGAAGTTTGTGTTCAATTATTCCTCAGTACATTTAACCGACGTGCAACTGGAAGTCCTATCTCTGGGCCCTAAATTCTGCGATATAAATTTCAACTCCGACAAACTCCATACTCAGGTCCAGTTTGAAAATCTAATCAGCCAAACGCACGATCTCAGCCCAACTTCTGAAGACGAATTACAGAGATTCAAGTCAACAATCATGGACTGCTGCCACCAATACTTGAATTCAAAATCAAAAGTCCGCAACCACCTAACGAAGCGGCACCGAGAGGAATTAAAACAGTTGAGAGATAACAAAGATCTACTTATGACTCGACCCGACAAGGGTGCGGGTGTAGTGCTTCTGAATCGAAGAGACTACATCGAGAAAATGAACGATATACTGTCGAATGAAGACAAATTTTCCCAACCTTCCAATGAAAGAAACAAAACGGAACAGATTGAGAAGCAGCTCACAGATGTCTTGAAGAGAATGAAGGCCAGTCAACTAATCAGTGGGGATATCTACGATCAGATCCGGCCAACAGGTTCAATAATACCAAGACTTTATGGTCTACCAAAGGTACACAAGGTTGGTCTCCCACTTCGTCCAATTCTGGATATGTCAGGTTCCCCTTACCACTCTATTGCACAATGGCTAGCAGATATTCTGGAACCTGTAAGGAAGCAATTATGTACGTACTCGCTCCGTGACACCTTCCAGTTCATCGAGTGCATACAAGACACGAATGTATCTAACAAAATTATGCTGTCCTTCGACATCGAGTCACTTTTCACCAATGTCCCACTCACAGAAACGGTCTGCTTCATATGCAGATATATAGATGACAACCACCTCGATATTGGAATACCGACAACATACTTGAAAGAACTATTATTGAGATGCACTCTGAACGTCCAGTTCACATTCAACGACACCATCTACAGACAAAAGGATGGTATTGCAATGGGATCTCCGTTGGGTCCACTACTATCAGATTGCTTCGTGGCAAGCCTCGAGAGAGGTTCACTAAAGCCAAGCATCGACAATTTGCGACTGTATAAAAGATACGTGGATGACATTTTCATTATTTGTGACAACAACAACGACCCCAATCTGCTGTTGAAGACATTTAACAATTGCCACCCAGCAATAAAATTCACTCTTGAAATGGAAAACGAGTCAAAAATTCCGTTTCTTGATGTGGAACTGACAAGAAGAGCTGATGGGAGCCTAAGAAGATCAATCCATAGAAAACCTACGTGGAATGGTCAACTAACAAACTTCTATAGCTGGGTGCCCATTCAACAAAAGCGAAACTTAATTAAATCACTTGCTACCCGCATCCGACGCATCTGTAGTCCCGACATTCTGGAAACAGAATTAGATATTCTGAGAGAAATATTCATCCAAAATGGATACCCAATAAGATTTATCGACAAAAATATGAAACCAATAATTCGGAAAAACGAAACTTTAACTGTGCCTAAAAAGAAAATCTACATGAATTTGGATTTCAAGGGAGATTTAGCAAGCGATATTCTCAAGAGAAGGATCACATCATCTCTGAGAAGAACTTTCTTTGCAGCAACGCTACGAATAGTGTTCTCCAGTCGCCCACTGATCTGCAGAAGCCTCAAGGACAAGATCCCGCATCTGGCCACTTCTATGTGCATATACCAGTTCACCTGCTGCTGTGGAGCCAGGTACATCGGTCGTTCGACGCGCATCCTGTCCAAGAGAATTCAAGAACATTATCCAGCATGGCTGCGAAAAGGCAATACTGGTGCAATAAGGAGTGCGATAATTGAACACCTGGTCAACACTGATCATTGCATTTCAACGAACGCCTCCTTCAAAGTAATCTACAGAGTCAAGAATAACATATCAAAGGCAATACGGTTTCGTCTCCTTTGCATCGCTGAAGCTCTGGCCATTCACATGGAAAAACCGGAGCTGTGCATACAAAAGAAGATTACTCAACCACTTCTACTCTCATGGTAACAATGTTTTGATTTGTTTTGAGCTTTTATTTTTATTTTGATGACTTAATTTTGTTTCTTTGCCTGTTCCTTAATTGCTTATAATTCTTGTATTCACTTAAATCTCTTACATAGTTTCGTATTATCTACTTTGTTTCTATGTGCATCCTGAGTAAAACTCACTCATCAAACTATTCATATTATTATTGCATAACTTCTTTTAACAACTGTTTGTGACAACTCATCACCTTTGTTACTACCCTAGCACTTAATGGTCTTGACTTAGATCACCAACCTTTACCTGTTTAGTTAAAATAACCTTAAGCAATTATAATTCTTGTATCCACTTAGATCTCTTACATAGTTTCGTATTATCTACTTTGTTTCTATGTGCATCCTGAGTAAAACTCACTATTATTATTACAACTGTTTGTGACAACTCATCATTTTTTTACTACCCTAGTTTCATTAGCACTTAATTTTCTTGACCTGTATTACCAACTTTCACTTGTTTAGTTAAAAGTAACCTTAACCAATTGTAACTTTGTTTGAGAAACTTAATGTACACATACATACAAAACAAGGTAAACACTCACATACAAACAGCACCATATGAGGAAATTAACAAATCAATAAACACAGTTATGAATAAAGTTAGGAAATCCACAGCGGATGTTTTACGCCGAATGAAGCCGTTTCTATGGGAGTCTAAGTGGTTGAATTTAATGCTCAAATCTAATAATCCTAGTAGGAGGTATAGTGTTGTTAAAGTTCATAAGTCGGGATACCCTATTAGGCCTATAGTTGATTTTAGAAATTCACCTACTTATGAACTATCTAAATATTTAGCCATGGTATTAAATCCCATAAAAATCCACTCGAAATCTAGAAAAACTAATTCTTATGAAGTCAAACACCGATTAGATAATTGATAATTTAGATAATGAAGAGAGAATGGTCAGTTTTTGACATTGTCAGTTTAAATATACACGTATACCAATAAATATGGCTATAGAGGCAGTCAGAAACGAACTCATTTCTGACTAAGAACTCGAACTTGAACGGACAAAAGTGCCACTTGAGGACATAATGCTGGGAGTGCAGCTATGCCTGACTTCCACAGTATTTAAATTCCAAGGGAAATTACACAAAGAAACTGATGGAGTTGCTCTGGGATCACCAATATCCTCGGTTGTAGCAGATATATTCATGGATAGGTGGGAAAGCATAGCGATTGAAACGTTCACCCCTACCCCAAAAGTATGGTCGAGGTATGTAGATGACACATTCACTGTACTCAGAACACAAGGTGTTGATAGACTTTTCGAACACATCAACTCGAAGGTAGAGGCAATTCAATTCACTATTGAATTGGGAAGTCAGGAAGGGGAGCTTGTAGGGGACTAGAGTTCACTAACATTCCAAATATAAAAGTAATAATCCAAGTCAGTGGAGTGTTAAATCACAATATATTACCAAAAATACAGTGACGAGTTATAGCAACAAAAAGGATTACTTGGTTATAGAGTGTAAGTCCTCGGCTATAAATTAATTATATAATCCACGGGCACGTTAATTGTTTGGACTGCGTCTGCTGTAGCTGCTGTGTTCCGGTTGTAGAAATGTCTTCGGTTGAGAGTAGTAGGCTCCTACAATAAATCCGAAGTATACAACACGGTGTGAGTGGAGCAAGTAAGCAGAAGTGACCAGGGAGAAGACGAAGTCTCCAACAGCAGAGTGTATTTTTCAATTGTACACGGAAGTTATGTATATTTCAACAAGAAGCGTTTTAAACAAAAATTATGTACAATATCTCGAATTTATACAAGTAACCAAAAAGTGTACAATCACATTGTTACGTACTCCACACGGCTCCCCTCCTAGAGGTCCGGAGAGACAACCGGAAAATGATAAGTAAAACTATGAAGTAAATAATAATAGTAATAGCAACTTTTGGTTAAAAATAGGGATATATTACAACATGCATAAACGCGAGAAGGTATGTGAATCATGTAAAGTCTGAAAGCATATACAATGAGTTCAGCAATAAAAATTGAAATAGAAAGTCATGTCACTTAAATTTGCACTAACCATGAACATAGATTTTTAATGTATAAAGAAAAATATGTAAATACACAGTAATTAAGGAGGGGAAAGAAACATTAAAAAAAAATATGGATTAAAGATCAATAGTTTTTGAAAGGACAATACCTGTTTTTTTAGGTGAGGTACATATAAATAAATAATAGTGATAGTAACATCAAAGTTTACGACGAAATACTAACGGTCATGATGATAATGTCTAAACGAAAAAGATAATAATAATTTTTAATTATTTTTCTTTTGTTAGTCCTCAAAATGAACGTAGCGAGCCGGTTTACTGATTTGCCGACCACTACGTGTTTGATATGGAGGGAGGATAAGACTTGGTGCCGGTGGAGTGGAATCGGATGTTTGATTATTTGATTGCGCAGCTGCCGATGTAGATTCGAAGTCGTTGTCGGTGTATGCGGGTTTGATTCGATCAATTGAAACAGTCTCTCGTCTTCCATTCTTGTTCACTGTAAAGTGTTTGTCTGAACGTTTAATAACTTGAAAGGGTCCTTCGTATGGAGGTTGCAATCCTTTTCTGATGGCGTCGACTCGAATGAAGACGAATTTGCAAGTTTGTAGATGTTTGTTGATCTGATCTCGTCGGGGAGATTGTCGAGGTGCTGTTGGTTGAAGTTGAAGCATTTGTCTAGTTAATCGGTTAGTGAAGTCGGCAATGTTCACGTCTGTGGAATCGGCTGAGGGGACTAGCTGTCCAGGCAAGGTTAGGTTGGTGCCATAGACAAGTTGAGCCGGTGTACATCCTAAATCTTCTTTGATAGTAGAACGGATACCAAGTAAAATCAAAGGTAAGTATTCACTCCACTTAGATGTATCATTCTGCGCCATCAGGGAGCTTTTCAGTTGTCTGTGGAATCTTTCCACTAGACCATTCGCTGCCGGATGATAGGCTGTTGTGGAGATATGTTTCACTCCCAGAAGTCTCGTCAGTTCGCGAAAGAGTGTCGATTGGAATTGAGGACCGCGGTCGGATGTAATAGTAGTTGGTACACCGTAGTTTGACACCCAACGGTCGAGAAAAACTAAAGCAACGTTTTCAGCAGATATGTCGTTTAAGGGGCATGCAATAGCCCAACGAGTAAATCTATCAATCGCTGTCAGGATATGTGTATATCCCCTTGATGTTGGCAATGGTCCCACGATATCTATATGGATATGCTGAAATCTCCTTTCGGGTAATTCAAACGTCTTCGGGGTTGTAATAGTGTGGCGGTGTACTTTGGAGCATTGGCATTGGATACATTCTCGTGCCCATCTCCGAATGTCAGAGTTCATTTTAGGCCACACGAAGCGTTCGCTGATCAGTCTGACCGTGGCGCGTACTCCAGGGTGAGAAAGCGAATGTAAATGTTCGAACAATGCTTTTCGGCAACTGAGAGGGACAAATGGACGATTAGTGCCGGTAGATACATCGCAGACTATGGTTGCATCTGATAAGGGGATAGGCACATCTTTGAGCTGTAAGGAAGAGTTTCTGCGGCAGGTTTGGAGTTCAACGTCATCTCTTTGTAATTGAGCCATACGATCAAGACTGATGTCTACCGACGTTTGAAGCTGGTTAATGTCACTTCTTGAAAGAGAATCGGCTACCACGTTCGCATCCCCTTTGATGTACTGGATGTCGGTTGAAAATTGGGAGATATAATCCAACTGTCTGGCTTCTCTAGGGGAGTGTTTATCGAGTGAAGTAGTGAAAGCATGACACAGGGGCTTGTGGTCAGTAAAAATAGTGAAATGCCGGCCCTGTAGTAAGTAACTGAAATGCTTCACTGCAAGATATATGGCCAGCAATTCTCTCCCAAAAGTGCTGTATCGTGTCTGAGCCGGTTCCAACTTCTTAGAAAAGAATGCGAGTGGGGTGACTTCGCCCTTCATCTTTTGTTGTAATACTGCCCCTACAGCTACTTGGGAGGCATCTGTGCACAAAATAAGCGACGCTTCGGGGTTGATATGGGATAGCATAGTGACTCTGGATAAGGCATCTTTTGCGTTGCAAAATGATTCGTGTGCTTCAGCTGACCACTGAAACTTTTTAGGATCATTTTTAAGGAGGTCGGTTAACGGCTGGACGATGGAGGCACACGAAGGAATGAAACGCCGATAGAAATTAAACATCCCCAAAAAACGTCTGACCTTCTTGAGTGAATCTGGTTCGGGGAAGTTTTTGATGGACTCTATCTTTTCCTCCGTAGGCGTAATACCATTCGCGGTTATGTGGTGTCCCAGAAACTGTATAGAGGAGACACCGAATATGCACTTTTTGGGGTTAATGACGACTCCATATTGCTCAAATCGTTGAAATAAGATGGTGAGGTGATCAGTATGTTCTTCGGGCGACGAGCTAGCAATTAAAACGTCATCGATATATACAAATACAAAGTCCAAACCTTGTGTGACCTGATCCATGAAACGTTGGAAGGATTGTGCTGCGTTCTTTAGGCCAAATGGCATGCGGAGAAATTCAAACAAACCGAAAGGTGTGATGATGGCCGTTTTTTCGATATCCTCTTGGGCAACTGGTATTTGGTGATAGGCCCTGACCAAGTCTACTTTAGAAAAAATGGTTTTTCCGTGTAATGTCAGGGAGAAATCATGAAGATGAGGAATAGGATAACGGTCGGGAACTGTGGCATTGTTTAAATGTCGGTAATCCCCACATGGCCTCCAATCATGATCAGCTTTAGGCACCATGTGTAAGGGCGAAGACCAAGGACTATTGGAGGGTCTGATGATGCCGAGCTGCATCATGTGTTCAAATTCTGCCTTGGCTGCTGCCAATTTGTCCGGGGGTAATCTACGAGGACGAGCACGAACTGGTTGACCCGTAGTAACTATCTTGTGAGTAACTGTGTGAGGGACGTCCTCGATGTTGTACGACGGCTTAAGAATTTTAGGGAAACGGTGAAGTAGGGAGGAAAAAGGGCAATCTGCTGGTCTTTCAATACTGATATTATAGACAGAATAGCTGGAGATAATTCCATGGATCTTTAGATGGGTGTTGTTATCAATCAGTTTTTATTGTTGACGTCAACTAACAGGTTGAAATTACTCAAGAAATCTGCTCCGAGGATGGCGTGTTTTTTTTTTTTTTTTTTTTTTTTTTTTTTTTTTTTTTTTTTTTTTTTTTTTTTTTTTGTGAGGGATTGTTCTCCATACGTCTGTATGCTTGTGTGGTTAGCTGCCCGGAGAGACAGTTTTCCGAGTGTCCGTGTTGATCGCCTGGATAGTTAAGGAGGGATCACGCTAACTTCTGCTCCCGTGTCTACCAGGAATAAAGTGTCTGAAGTTTTGTCCTTCACATAGAAGAGGCGACTTGTTTGCTTGCCAGTAACAGCTGTCGCCATCACTGTCTGGCTGAGGCGTTTCCCTGAGCCTGGTTGGCTTCGCTAAAGCTGCACGGTTTTACACATTTCAGGGCATGACGTCCAAACTTCCAGTGATACCAGCATATATTGCTATCCCGAGAAGACGTGTAAGAACGCTGTCGTGAGAAGGATCGTCGTCGTGATGGTGACCTTCTCTGTGAGCTCCGCCTCCGGACTCGTCGATCCGACCTATTAGTTTCCAACTTGTCAATCCTTGCCGCTAAGTCTGCAATGGCGGCGAGTATCGGTGTGTCTGCCGTGGGTGTGGAATGACACGGTGTGGCACTATCAGATCTACGTGACTTATGGTGTTATCAGATAAAACATCCATAATACTATCTGCCATGTCACTTAGTTGGTCTAAGTCATACGACTTTCCTGAGATGATTAAAATTTGCTAGACATTTCTAGGTAAACGTTGCAACCATATCTGTTTCAGCACTACCTCGTCTACTTTATGATGTCCGATTAACTGGCGCATGTGCCTGAGCAGCTGGGATGGTTTACGTGGGCCTAGTTCACAGCCTGTGAGCAATTGTTGGATTCTTTTCTCATCTGACAAACTGGTACGTTGTATGAGGAGGGCTTTAAGTTTATCAAATTGATGTTCCGTCGGAGGATCTTCGATGAAATCGCTGATTTCTGTCAATACTGACGGAGGGAGTTCTGCCAGCACCATACCATATTTGGCTATTTGGGACTTAATGCCCCGTGCTTCTAGCAACGGTTCAATTACCGCAAACCAAATCCTTGGTTCTGCGAAACCGTATTGGGGTAAACGAAAATCAGTGATGGCATTTATTGTGGCATTTGTCTCGCTATTAGTTGTCTGCTCGTTTGATGTACCGGACTGAGGTGATGACATTATAAATATGAGGTTATTGGTGCAAATTAGGATACAAATATAAACCACACACAAAATCACAATGAATATACAAAATAGCAAAAATAAGAATATGAATATGCCATAATAATCCGTGTTCTTATCGGGCTCACCAATTAATTTGTAGGGGACCAAAATTAGAGTTCACTAACATTCCAAATATAAAAGTAATAATCCAAGTCAGTGGAGTGTTAAATCACAATATATTACCAAGAATACAGTGACGAGTTATAGCAACAAAAAGGATTACTTGGTTATAGAGTGTAAGTCCTCGGCTATAAATTAATTATATAATCCACGGGCACGTTAATTGTTTGGACTGCGTCTGCTGTAGCTGCTGTGTTCCGGTTGTAGAAATGTCTTCGGTTGAGAGTAGTAGGCTCCTACAATAAATCCGAAGTATACAACACGGTGTGAGTGGAGCAAGTAAGCAGAAGTGACCAGGGAGAAGACGAAGTCTCCAACAGCAGAGTGTATTTTTCAATTGTACACGGAGGTTATGTATATTTCAACAAGAAGCGTTTTAAACAAAAATTATGTACAATATCTCGAATTTATACAAATAATCAAAAAGTGTACAATCATATTGTTACGTACTCAACAAGCTTCCAATGTTAGATTGCAACGTAAAAAGGAAAGAAGATGGGAAGTCAAAAACTAGTGTTTACAGGAAACCCACACATCGAAACAGATATTTGGACTTCCGATCATCCCATCCTATGTCAGTAAAAACAGGATTAGTGAAATGTTTAAGTGACAGAGTACAAAAACTAAGTAGCACCAAGGGAAATCTAAGACAGCAAGTGATACACATAAAAGAAGCCTTGGAACTTAATAATTACCCGGATAAATTAGTCAGGAAATATTTAAGGAAATGTCAAAATAAAATAAATAATGATAGTAGCGATAGTGATGATGAAAATAATATTAATAATAATAATAATATTAATGACGACACCGACAATAAGGAATTTAAATCATCAGTAGTAATTGCATACAAGGAAGGGACCTCGGAAACCTTACGCGGAATTCTTAACAATGCTGGCAGGAATAAAAGTGGCTGGCATTCAAACCACCCACAATCTCAATTAGAAACAAGCTTTGTCGGTTAAAGGATCAATCCTGTGGAGTCTTTAAAACAAAGCAATTTAGTTTATCTAATACCCCCTGCTTGCAATGATTGTCAGGTCAAATGCATAGGTCAAACTAGTAGAACCAGGGCAGTCAGACTAGCCGAACATAAAATACCTAGCAAAATCAAAATTGGTTGACCCAAATAAGATAAGAAATGGAAAGAATAGTTCAGCTATAGCACTGACCACATGCAATTACACACAACCAAAAAATAGAATGGGACAGGATGACAGGTTTAAAATCTAATGTCACAGGGTGGAGGAAGAGATTGATAAGAGAAGCTTTGTTTATCGAATCAACTGCAAATACATGTAATAGGAATGATTCAATACCTGTCCACCCAGATATCTGGAAAATTCTTCTACTCCTACGATAAATAGGAGAAAACAAAGAAAACTATCCAACTGAAGTTTCGAAGTCGTGTGATCACAATTGATATGATTATGAATAATAAATTCTGTTCGAAACGTCATCCAGTAAATAATACTGTTTCTTCGCTGTGTGATACAACTAATAAACAAACCAATATGGAATTACTTACTACCACAGTGCCCAAGTATTACACATATATTAAGGAGAAAGTGATAAACAGTGAGACATCAAGACTGCTAGACAGGGAGTTTATTGAGAGGGAGAGAGAGGTAGAGACGATTGAAGAAAGTACACTCACTGAAACCCGAATTCACGTCATCTGAATACATTTCATCGCATATCCATGATTGACAGGTCAATTATTTTCATTGAATCAAACACGATATAACGAATATGTTTGAATTCCTTGAAAATTCATGGATTGATATCGGTTTTATTTTCTTCACCTTCCCAGTGGAACATGGGGCTTCAGGTTGGTGGCTTGAAGTCTCTTTAGCAGTGTTTATTTTACAGGATGGGATTGCTAGCCTCATGCCCAACCTTTCCTCTTTACCAGCATT